AAATATACCTAACAAAACTTACCATTTCAAAGTGAGTATTCAGCAGCATTAAATCCATTCACCACGTTGTGCAGCAATCACCACCGTTCATCTCCAGAACTTTATCATCATCTCAAACAGAATATGTAGTACCCATTAAACACTAATTCCCCATTTCCCTTTAGTCCCTGGTAACCTCTCTTGCACTTTTTGTGTCAATGAATTTTATCTATTCTGGGTTCATCTTGTAAATGGAATCATACAGTATTTGTCCTATTTCCCTTAGCATAATGTCTTCAGGGTTCATTTATGTTGTAGCATGTGTCAGAATTTCACTCCTTTTAAAGGCTGACTAATAATACTCTGTTGTGTCATATACCACATTTTGTTTATCCATTCATCCGTTGATGGATATTTGGGTTGTTTCCACCTTTTGGATTTGTAAGTAATGCTGTGATCATTGGTGTGCAAGTATCTGAGTCCCTGCTTTCAATTCTTTGGGGCATAGCTCTAGAAGGGGAATTGTTGGATCATATGGATCAACTTTTTAAGGACTCCCCTCCCCCCCCCACTTTTTTTAACTAGAGAATTCTACCAGCCTTTGTAGTAAAATAACTCCTAGATCCTGAAGGCAAAGTGGCAGTGCCTGTCACCTAGTGAGTGCTCAGTAAGTATTATTTAGGCTTCCTGAACAGTTCACTGCCCCACAGTACACTAAGTGTAGAAATAAAACAACCCAGGATACTTTCTACTTAGGAAGCTTTGCCTATGAACTGGTCTGGCCAGCAAGCAGATCTATTATGCTTGGGTAGACATTAAGAAAAATGTTCAGTAAACTTCTCATTAACATATCCAATCAGAGACTGGCTGTGTGTGATAGCAATCTGACTTTTAGAATTCTTTGAACTTTTAAAGAGAAGCCTATTCTATAGATAGTTTTTTATATTATATGCTGTGGGCTGCCTAGGTAATTAAAAAAGGGAGAGAATCTCAATAGTATCCTAATTAATCCTGTAACTTATTGACTATTTTCCCATACCTGTGACAGGTGACAGTTCGTGATGCTATAAATCAAGGTATGGATGAGGAGCTTGAAAGAGATGAGAAGGTATTTCTACTTGGGGAAGAAGTTGCCCAGTATGATGGGGCATACAAGGTAACCAGGATATGTGAAAGCTGTACAAAATTGAGATGCGCATCTGCCACCAGATACACTTAAAAGTAACAGGGTCAATATTTACTTGTAGGTTAGTCGAGGCCTGTGGAAGAAATACGGAGATAAGAGGATCATAGACACGCCCATATCTGAGGTAAGCCTTGCCTCAGGAAGCAGACCTTTGAGGGGCACGTCTATTAAAGTGTACACTGTTCTAATTTTTATGGATTTTCATTTATATTTGTGTTTTATTTTATAGATGGGCTTTGCTGGAATTGCCGTAGGTGCAGCTATGGTATGTAAGCCTCTTTATGACTCTCATCCAAAGAGATTTTTAACATGACCTTTTAAAAACATTATTTGAATTTTGGAGGAGCAAGGTGGTTGTTTGCCCCTCTTCATTGCTTTTTTAGTCTTTTTAACATGTACAGTTTTTATTTGACAGGCTGGGTTACGGCCCATTTGTGAATTTATGACCTTCAATTTCTCTATGCAAGCCATTGACCAGGTTATAAACTCAGCTGCCAAGACCTACTATATGTCGGCCGGCCTTCAGCCAGTGCCCATCGTCTTCAGGGGGCCCAATGGCGCCTCTGCAGGTGTAGCTGCCCAGCACTCACAGTGCTTTGCCGCCTGGTATGGGCACTGCCCAGGCTTGAAGGTGGTCAGCCCCTGGAATGCAGAAGATGCAAAAGGACTTATTAAATCAGCCATTCGGGATAATAATCCAGGTGAGCAGAGGGACCCTTGGGTCTCTTCTGAATATTAAAGAACTAAAATGAAATCTTTGCATGCAAGGCACCAATAAAGGTTTCTAGTTAGGCTTAGACATATCACATACAATGTTAATGATTTACAGATATAGTAAAGACAGTAAAAAATATAGTTCTCCTTATTTCTGACTATATGGGGGCCAGTTAGGTAAAGGAGGCATTTACTACATACCTAAAACACTGATTTAACCTTAATAAAGTTAGGATTGAGCAGACTAGTACAAATGTCAGTGCCTAAACCATCCTTAAGGCAACACGACAGACATAAGACTTCCTAATCAGCACAGTGAAACTCTTCACAAAAAGTGAATGGTAGTGTTGTGTATACATTTTTAGTCATGTCGTTACTTTTGTTTAAATATTTATATTTTTGCAGTGGTGATGCTAGAAAATGAATTGATGTATGGAGTTCCTTTTGAACTTCCCGTGGAAGCTCAGTCAAAAGATTTTCTGATTCCTATTGGAAAAGCCAAAATAGAAAGGCAAGGTAAGAGAACTTAGTATACATTTAAACGTTATTTGTAATCCATCCCCTCTATTTGTGTTAGATTCAATCTAGACGCTATTGCCCTTTACTTTGACTAAGAAAGTATAGGATGAGTTCAAGGTAAGAATGTCATGTTCTAATTGCTCATACACTTGTGCTTTTCTAAATCTTAGTCCAGTAGAGTTGTATTTCTTTTCTGGAAAGGCTGCCACTTTCCTCATGTGATTAGAATGAAGCTGAGTTGAAGATTTTACAAATGAACTTAGTTTCAAGTTTACCTTAGATCTGTGACCACTTTGTTTCAGGGACACATGTAACCGTAGTTGCCCATTCAAGACCTGTGGGCCACTGCTTAGAAGCTGCGACTGTGCTGTCTAAAGAGGGAATTGAATGTGAGGTGAGTGGGCATTCACTTGCTCTTAAAGAATCAGAAAGGTTCTTTTTAAATTTAAGACCCAGAAATAGGAGTTTGAGTTCTGTAACAGGTTAACTAGATGTAAAATCTTTGTCACTCAGTTCTCCCTTTGCTTAAACCTGGGAACCTACTTGCTTTTCAAATACCCAGCTTTTTACCACGTAGGTTCTGGGTCTCTTAGAATAGGACTTGCTTTCTCAAGTTAAGATCCAACCTTGGAGCTGGACGTTGGAAGAAGGGAAAACTTAGAAGTCAGTGAGTCTAACTAACCCTTTCATATCCAGGACCTAGCACTCGCTAGTTACACTTGGGTAAGTTATGTACTCTAAATCTCAGAAGACTTAGACTGACGGACAGGAGCTTAGAACAGCAGAGAAGGGAGAGATGGCTCAGAGTGGGGATAAAACATTTCTGTCCCATCATGGTGATTGTGAGAATTACAGTTCGTGTAGTTAGTGCCTGATACACAGTAAGCAGTCATATGTTGGTTATTAATTATTGTGATGAGAAAGAAGTTAAAGCCTAGGGAGGATAAATGAATTCTATAAGTTAACAATAGCTGCTTGTAGTAGATATAAAGATTTCTGTTTTAATTACAATTTCTCTTCTTACATTTTGTTCATGAATAGGCAGATTAGATTTTCCTAGACCCCAAAATTAATAGGAAACAAAAAAAGAAGTGGTATTATGGGTAAGATTATATTTGTGATGCAGTGGCTCTATAAATCTTATCTACTACTTTATCTGTTTAGGTTATAAATATGCGAACCATCAGACCGATGGACATTGACACAATAGAAGCCAGTGTCATGAAGACCAATCATCTCGTAACTGTGGAAGGAGGCTGGCCACAATTTGGAGTAGGAGCTGAAATTTGTGCCAGGATCATGGAAGGTATTTCAGAGAAACTGGTTTTAGAATAGTCAAGCTGTATTAAACATTGTATACCTGGATACTGGATAGAGATTGAAAGCGAGGGGTGGCCAAATTATATGAACTTTCAACTAGTCAGCTTGGCATTTTTCCTTTGAATAAATGCTTTCAAAAGCAAAACCAGAAACAATTCTCAGTAATGAGCATTCCTGTAGATTTCCCCTGGTTTTCGGGCAGCCATACCTCTTGTGCCAAGATGGTGATGTTCAGCTGGCTCCTCCTGCCTCTCTCTCATTGGAGACGCCTTCTCTCCTAGGCCCTGCATTCAATTTCCTGGACGCTCCTGCAGTTCGTGTCACCGGTGCTGATGTCCCTATGCCTTATGCAAAGATTCTAGAAGACAACTCTGTACCTCAGGTTAAAGACATCATATTTGCAATAAAGAAAACATTAAATATCTAGTTTGGACTTGAATTTCAAGTCATTTGGGATTTATTTAAAATACTTGCTGACACCCCCCGGACTGGACTGTAAGACATTCTGATTCATAAATGTTTTTGTACTGTAAAGAAGTTTAAATGTGCTTATATGTGGAAAAACTCTCCATTCTTCTTGCCCTAGACTCCATGCCTATTTTTTGTCTGTTACAATTACCATGTACTTTGAATAAGACTAATGTAAAATTTTACCTTCTCACTGGAAGGACAAGATATGATTGTGACAGAGTCCTCATGAAAGATATATCCAAAAAAAGACAACTTATATATGTAAAAATAAAAGCATATAATTTACATTTACTGTTAGGTTGTTTTGATAAGGAATAAAGGAATTCCTGACTATGACTAATTGTATTTTTATATTCTTGAAAATAAATATGGGGTGGAAGTCTTAAAATTTTATTAAGAAATTAGTGTCATCAGGAACTAATCATTAATCACCTCGACCTCATCAAACTTATAACAGGAGCTTATCCACAGAATCTTCAAATGCCTAATTCTAATAGGGTTCCCTTTAAAATTAAAGCAGAGTTCATATCAGGTATTTTCTCATTGCCAGAAAACACCTGCCATACATTACCCTTTCCAGAAGTTGAAATGGAAAAGACGGGTTTAAATTTTAGAAGCACATAAGGTACCTAATTTAAATAGCAAGACAGGATTGTTAGCTCTTATTAAGGGAAAATATGACACAAAAAGAATAGAGATAGGATAGATAGGAAGAAAATTTTAGAAATACTGTATGGATCTGGTCTTTGTTTACAAAAGGTACTACAAAAAGTTCCCCTTTAAAAAATTAAGCCAAGCTACAGGCAACACATTGTGTTGACATGGTTTATTTTAATAAAAAATACAGCTGAACATTTATCACAGATTACATGAAACTATAGACAATGACATTCTCTGCATAGTAACCAACACTGATGTGTGTACTTGAATTTTTAAATGGATTATTTATAATCCTTTAAAGTGCAGTTTATTTAAGGGTTTAAGCAAATCATAGGATAAAGGATCTTTCTAATAAATGAGTAACATTTAAAGATGATGAATTTGAATAAGTTTTTCAAAAATCAGAATTCTATAGATGCCAAATTCATCTGTAATAATAATCTCCCACAAACCACAAACTTAGTTGCTGAGGAGTAAGATCCTCTAATTGAAAAGAGCTTTATTGGATGTTAACATTTTTTGTTCAATACATTCTAACTATAAGGAAGTATGAGTTGAGTAGTTGCTTCAGCAGCCCCGAGTTCTAGAACCACAACAGTATTCCTGTGAGAACTTAAGAGAATGTTACAAATTTCCCCCATTCTATTTAAGGGGAAGACAAAGAACTCAGCTGCTTTGGCCTGGAGTAAGCCTGCTTCTCTGATTTGACTTAACTAGGCTTTGGGCTATAGTGTTAACGTTGGAAGATGAAATTAAAGTAGCAAAAATGGGAGTTATCTAAGAAATAACCAGAAAATGCTTCAGAATAGAGAAATAAACTATGAGAGGAACATTTCTAGGAGCTGTCTGACAGGACAGGAGGGATTGTATTGTAACACAAAGGCCATTCGCTGCTGTGACTGAATATTATTGTTTTTCTGTTTCCTTCAGTTGGTAGAAATATTGATTCAAATAATGCTACTACCCCAAAAAGATGCCCATTAAAGGATGAAGAAGTCTCCTTTAAAATAGTAATAAAGGAGCAAAATATTTCTTAAGGCAGCAACACCAGCCTGATTTTAATCTACTTGAAGATTATTTCCTTCTTGAAAAGCCCCCTTACATGACATCTGCAAAACAGTATGGTGTCTGTACCGGCTCAGCAATTATTCATCCAGGAAGAGGCTGTTTTAGGGGTTTGGAGGTGGGAAGAAAACAAAACAAAACAAAAAAAACCACTTTTCCCTCCAAGTGTAAACATGAAGCTTTAGCCGATCTTAGGAGCACTGTGATCGCAGGTTTCGGCTTTCCTCAAAGTTCCTTTTTGGAAATTCTGGATGGAGCTGAGTAAGGCCCCTCGGCTCACGCCATTCACAGCCTGGGGCAGGAGCTGTGTGGGCACCTCTGTGCTCGAAGGAGGCAAGGGAGCTGCTGCTGGTAGAGGCAGAGGTGGGGGAGGTGGAGGTACTGTTGAATTCCCTGTGGAGGAAAAGGGACAGCGTCATTTCACCACATACCCTGCATACATGCTCCTGCTCAGTGCTGGGCAGAATGGACTTTGGTGAGACTACAAGTGTGTTCCCTCAGAGGGGCCAACATACCCAGCACTGTACGATTTCTTAAATACCGAACAAGAAAGCTAGAAGCATCACAGGGGAATTTAAATCTAAAGTTGCTACTTCTCCCAAATAACAAGCATGTGAGAAAGGACTGAAGAAACATCACAGATTACATGAAGCTATATATAGTGATATTCTCTTAGTGTAGATGAGGCTCCAACTCCATTTCTAAGTTTTAGTAGTGGACCCCAAAGAAAAGTTCCATCAGCTACTTTAGCCAGCTCCTGGGCAGTTCCGCCTATTCCTGAACTAGCAATTGAAGGTAGACATCTGTCTGCATAGAGTTGGCCTACCTGAATATCGATTAATAATAAGGGATGAATAGTTCTGTAGCTGTGCCAACACACACAATATTTGAAGGATGTGATTTAATATAAAATGACCAACCACTCAGGATTCTTGGCAAGGAACCAGTGCCTGCTGGGTTATGGGTTCCAAAGGGGCATCTGTCTCTAATCATTTCCTACTAGGCTGCATTAAATAAATATAAAAAGCTGGGCCGGCCGAGTGGCGCGATGGTTAAGAACTGGCTTGGGATGCCAGAGGGCCCTGGTTCGGATCCCACATATGAGGGCCTGTGGCAGTGGGTTGCCATGGGCTACCGTATGTAGCCAGCAGCCAGCGTGAGCGGCCGTCCAGAAGCCGACGACTGATCTGCCTCGCCCGGAAAGAGCGCAATGATGGTGCCAACTTGGGTCAGTGAAGCCACGTCCTTCACAACTAGACTGAAGAACAAAACGAAAGCAATTTGTCTGTTCCCCTTCCCCCAATTCCCCAGCACTGTTCCCTTCCCCCCAATACCCCAATAAAAATCTTAAAAAAAAAAAAAGAAATATAAAAAGCTAATAATTGTTGGCAATGCAAAGCAAGGGGCAAAGGACTTTCCCAGCAATGGTATTCTGGGGGAGGAGTCTTCCTCAAGCACCCTTCTTTCCACTGGGGCCCAACCCAGGAACAGAATGGAGCTGCACTAACCCTACATCTTTGCTGAAGCATTGGGAGAGACTGGAATGCCGAGCTCTAGCCTAGTGGGCAAGAAGGCAACTGTGCAGGTGTCTAAAACTTCCCTGGGCTTCCAAGCACACATTTGGCACTTGAATTTTACAGTTTTGAATCAATGAATGAATTGTTCTCCCAGGACAAAATAGACACTGAGTACAGACAAATCCCTGCCTTAAAGAACTTGCCTCTGCCACAGAGTTAGGTGCCCCATTTCCTTTGAACGTGCAGCTCTCCGTGACTCCACCCATCTTTCAAGCCTTACTCTCCACCCCTTCCTAGGGCTACATAAGGGAGACATTCTTCCAGGTGGTACCCCCCCAAACTACTACCGAGCTGTGGTGTTAACAGGTAAACATACCAATCACCATTTGAGTTTATATGGATGTGTGAGTGGTTCAGGATAACCAATAAAATACTTAGGTAAGTGCATGACAGGCAATGGTTAAAGTGGGGCAGGCAACGGTTCAATTCTTGTGTTTCATAGAAAACCACTTACCTTCCTTTACATCTTTACCCAAACCTAAGGCAGCTGAAATTAAAGAATCACACAGATACACACACTCATGCTCTGCAATCTTGGAATTCTCAATAATGATATGGTGATACAAATAAACATTAAATACAGACAAATGAACAAAATGTAATTTCCATTGGTTCCAGACAATAACAAATAACTAATGAATGAAGTTTGATTATGTTCTATGCCAAGGTGGATTGTGGAAAAATGTTCTTGGCTTACGTTACAGGGTTACAAAGATAAGGACTTTAAACCTGAAATGAGTGTTGAGGTGAGATCAGGGAGTGTAAGTGTGTGATAGAAGCATTCCTCTGAAGGGGGTTTCTGGATAGTGGCCAGTGAAATGCCAGGAGCCGGGGAGATTGCCTCTGAGGGCTCTTGGAACTCAACTGCAGCACAGAGAGAATCTGGAGCAGTGAGCAGGTACCAATGCTGCCCTTCTCCCCCACAATGGCCAGAAAACGGCATCAGAATCTGTACTTGACATACCGGGCTGTATATGTATCCAATGAGTATCAGTGTTTCTGCCTTCCAGCTTTGTGCTTTGAGCCTGGCAGAAGAGTCACTGTGGGTTACAGATGACAAGACAGGCTCTAGGCTGCAACAGCACTTGTGTCCTAAAGGCATGGAACTGACCACCCAGAGACTGCTACTCCTCCAGCCCAGGATTCTGGGAGGCTAGAAATGGGCCTCGAGGGCTGGACTTGGATATGGGCTGCCAGCTCAGCACAGGACAAAACTGCTTGGCCTTCATAAGGAACCAGCCCTTGACTTTAGCCTCATTACTAGGTGCTCAAAACTAAAAGGGTAAATTCACTACCACACAGTTTGGGAGCTGGGGATGGTGTGCGGTAAATGGATCTTCATTTTCCAAGAAAAGACTGAGATTGTTATCACTTTCAATGAATCTCTTTGAATGTGTAAGTAGTATAAATAAATACACTGTCCAAAGTGTCACACGGTAACCTGTGTCTGTAAAGCAAATGGGATGCTCAGGGCTGTTGGGAAGGAGAGGCTGCTCATCCAGGGTACAGAGCAAGGTCAGCCTGATGTCCGCTCACAGAGGGCCGGACAAATCTCAAAGGGCCTGATGTCCCATGAGATCCACTTTTCCTCACTGGGCCTGCGACAAGGACAGAGCTCGGCGTGTATGATTAGAGCAAGAGGCTAGAACTCAGCTTGCCAGCTCAGAGCACTCTGGGAGGGAGACAGGGTCCAGGAGTCAGAAGGTCAACACTGGAGGAGAAAGAACACAGACGTGGCGACTCACAGTCTCTGACTACAGGCCCATCAATTCTTTCTGCTTTTTCTTTTTGCCTTTTCTATGGTCCACAAGCTTCCTTAAAAGGTTCACTGGGGCTTAACCTATAACACCTTGGTAACAATGCAGGGAGGGGAGGAATGTTAACAAGAGGCAAATTCGAAGTTGGCTATTTGGCCTGTGACAAACCTGAGAACAACTATCTAAAGCCTGAGCTCCCCCATTCCTCAAATGTGAATGAGCTGCTACCCAACAAGAGGCCTCTGATAGCCCTTATCCCCAGGCCCCAGACTAAACCGGACAGAATCCATGTTAGACTGAGTACTAACTGAACTCATACAGCTTTAAAAAATATTGGCCTGTAACAACCCAGGATGAGGGACGCTCGAAAGCAGCTTATCCACAATTATAAGCAGGTCAGTCCTCATCTCTCCAATCTCACTTTCTCTTAGATAAATCCCCCAATAGACAACTACCCTACCCTCTCCTCCCCTCCCCAGAATGCCACCCACCAACCAAATAGGAATCTGGCAATCCAGCAGAGGCCTGAGAACAGGCCACAGACTTGCAGCAAGAGCATACGTTAGATCTAGACAGAGACGCCTTGCCAGGAACATCCTCACCAGCCTTGCGTAAAGGAGGTCTGAGGGTCCCCTTCCTTGGGGCCAACTTAGCAGTGGGCAATGCACAGGTGTCTGTAGGTCTGAGTTCCTCTGGGATCTGCACATAGAGGTGGGGATGCCACCAGCCACCAGACCTACCAGAGGGAATGGAGGGCAGTGACCCCAGAAGCAGGCGGCACCCGGCTCTTGGGAACTGCTTTTGCCTTTTGCCTCAGACAGATGAGGAGGCTGCACTCATGTCCCAACTCAAGAATTATTAAGGATGCTTCACAAAGAACTGGTCTTCCATACTGCCCGTTATAAACGCCTGCAAGTTGTCTCTCCATAACTGAGAACTCAACTACCTAATGCCCTTTCCCCTTCTTCAGAGTAACAAGGAACCAACATTTTTGCAGCAACAGGACTTTGAGAGCCTCGTTCCCCAAGTTAAAGCACACCCCAGTGCCATACAGCTGATTTGCAGGGTTTAGAGCTGTTATTTTAAAGCTGAAATCAGAGTGAAAATGAAGATTTTGAAGGTCATGATGAAATGAAATGAATGTAAATGAAGTCACTTGGGTGCTTTTTAAAGATGCTGTATTTCATTTAAGTGTTCAGATAAGGAAATCATCTCAAATCTGCTTTCCCATTTGCTCATCGCTTCAGTGATCTAGAGCACGAGGTCCCATTTCAATACAGAAACAGAGCATCTTTAAAGTTAGAGAATTCAGTATAGCTTACTTTACCGAAAATTCACGTTCAAAATGGCGCATGCTCTACTGAAAACAGCAAAGAGAGAGAGAGAGAGGGAAAGAGAGAGAGAGAGAGAGGGAACAAAGTCATTATTCCGATTTTAGTGTCATTTAATTAAATAGTAAGAGACAGTAAAGTATTAGTCTGAATCGCATGCTGATTATTCAGTGCCAAACTAGGAGACGCTTAAGCACCAAATGCACTGGTTTGTAAACACGACTGACCGGTTTAGAGCATGGCAAACCAATGAGTTGCTTTCCTCCTCAAGTTCTTTTTTTTAAATTTCTTCTTCAGGGCCAGTCAGGTGTTATTTTTATTTATTTACAAGCACAACACTCACTTCAGAAGGCCCAGGAAGGTTTTACCTCCCTGAAAAGTGGAATGGGTACTGGGAGTGTACTTAGTTCTATTACTAAATGAGGAGAGTTTTTAAGAGGGGAGAAAAATTAGAACTCATCACTTTTTTCCAAACCAAGTCTCCTACAGTCTAAAATGGAGATGTGTCTTTTCAAAGTTGGGAAGAGCAGGTGGAGAGGGCAGGTTGAAGGAGGCGCTCTGGGCAGGGGCAGTGTGGGCCCCTCCCCAAAGGCTGTTGGGTTCTAGAGGCTGAATTGAGCAGTGAGCTGTATTAGATCACGTATGGCTACAAAAACATTAAAAACAAAAAGCAGGGCAAACATTTTTCCTGTCTTTTTTTTTTTAATTATTTTTATTCTTGATTTTAA